CGGAAGATGGAGGTCCAGATAGGCCAAATTGTGGAGTCATTACAAGGCCATGTCCCTCGGACGTTACCAAGATAATCTGAGCAAGCGAAAGCGGTCATAGTTTTAAGGAGTGGTAAGGTAATTAACAAGGATATCAATTCTGAAACTAATAAGCCCTTGTCTAATTTTGCAGGTAAAAAGAAAGAGGGGAAGCAGTCGAGTGCACCCATGCAGAATGAGGAGATTGAAGATCCATATGTGCCACCGAAGCCTTATTGACTGATCGATCAGTGAAATATCCAAGAGGTATTGTTGAATATATTTTAGTTCAAGTTGACAAACTAATTGTTCTTATTGATTTTGTGGTGTTAGATATGGAGCGTACTTCAGGGCATAGTAGTGAGTTGCCTATTTTGCTAGGACGTCCCTTCATGGCCACAACAAAGACCATCATCGATGTCCAAAATGGAAAGCTAAAAATGACAGTTCTTGGTCAAACCATTGAATTTTCAGTTTTCAATTCCATGTCTTTACCTCTATATACTAATGATTATTTTGCAGTTGATTATTTGGATCCTATCATTGTGTCTAGTTTTCTGCAAGGGGAGACTAAAGATAAACCGAAGTTGGCTTTGACAACAGGGGATGGTGAGTTGAGTGATGATGAGGCTAGAGAGTATGTGGCAGAGTTAGATAGTGAGATTAGGGACATGTCTGATGAGGAATTGACGATGGCGATTGAACATGTTGGTGTCAAGTTTGTTTCTTCCATTGAATCCCCACCTAAGCTTGAGTTAAAACCCTTACCACCTACCCTTAAGTATGCTTACTTAGGAAAAGATAAAACCCTTCTTGTGATTATAGCTTCAGACCTAAGCATAGAGAAGGAGGAGAAATTGCTTAAGGTGTTGAGTGATCATAAGGTAGCCATAGGTTGGACAATAGTAGACAGCAAGGGAATTAGCCCCACTATGTGCATGCATAAAGTGTTGTTGGAGGAAGATTCCAAACCAACTAGGGAAGCTCAAAAGTGGTTGAATCTGCATTTGCAAAAGGTGGTGAGAGTTGAGGTGTTGAAACTACTTGATGCTGGGATCATTTATCCTATTTCAGACTGCAAGTGGGTAAGTCCAGGTACCAAAGAAGTCGGACATTACTGTGGTAAGAAATTCTGATGATGATTTAGTGCTGACTAAGATGACAACAAGATGGTAGGTTTGTATTGACTATAGGAAGTTGGAATGTTGCAACTAAAAAGGATCATTTCCCTTTTCCTTTTATTGATCAAATGTTAGAAAGATTGGCCAGTTATTCTTATTATTGTTTCCTTGATGGTTTCTCAAGTTACAATTAGATTCCTATCACTCCAGAGGATCAAGAGAAGAAAACTGGCCTGCTGTCGTAGGCACGCATAATTAAAACCCTAAAAATACACGTAGTAGTGTAAGTAGGGATCGTTCCCACGGAGAGTGTCTAGCCGAGTTTCATGTTACGTGAACCAGTAGGGGGGGGGGGGATTTGAATAAAAACAGAAACAATTTTAGGAAAAGAAATTCAACCTAAATTACTGAAATCAATCAAAATAACGAAACTTGGTCTAAGTCAACATCCACCATCGGAATCTTACAACTGATCATTGATGCAAAAAATAAATCAATACTTACTCTGAGTATTCACTGTTGGAACTATTTTCCTATCTCTCCTTAGTTGTAGTTAATTAGGAAACAAGCGATCTAATTAATCTTATTACTAAACAACCCTAGACAAGTGTTAAAGATTTAATCTAGTGGCAGCCTTAAGACCTAGAGAGATCGATGAAGCTAAACAACACAAACTCAAGCGGTTGTATTTAATTTAGTTGAATGTTCTTCTTAAGACTTAATAATTCCTGACGCAGCAAATTCTTAAACCCTAATTGCTTCACAAGTTAAAGGGATCAAACAATTACGGATTTGATATCTAACTTAGCAGTAGATTGCGACAATTAATAAACTAGTAGGCCTCCCTAGTAATTAAACGAAACAATCATAAAATTAGGCATAGAAAAACATCCAATACTCAAACACGAAAATTGAACACAAAGAAAAATATATTAGATCTCACAGTTTATCGATTCCGAGGCTTCCGTTTACTTCGACCAAGTTATCAAAATCAGCCTCTCATGGCCATCACCGAATTACAGAGGAAAAGTTCAGAGAAGACCAGAGAGAGGCGTGTGTCCACCAAAAAAAAATAATCTGATCTCTCCTCCCAAAAATCTAATTCAAGTGTTTGAATCCAACTCAATCTCCTAAAATCAATTATCCTAATCTGATTCTAATTAATTGAAAATACAATAAAGTCTTAAAAATAAAAATAGGAAAGTGATGTGTCCAGCTGTAACTCGTGTGCCACATGTCTTCAAATCTTCCAATAATAAACTGCCTCTTGGACTTGCATTACAAGGCAGAATGTTCCAGAACATCGGCAGTGCAGATGCGTCAACTTCAAGCCCAATTACAACCTTGATGCAGCAATTATCTCTCCAAACTCAAAACATAAAAGTTGTAGATATATTTCTTAGCGTTCTACAGAATTTTGAATCATCTCAATCGGAGCTCAGATGAGAGAGTTATGCCCAAAATACGAAACAACGTCAAAACTGTCCGAATTCACTTAATTAGTTCCGTTTTGCAATTAACGCTCCCATTTGCTTCCTAAGTCAAAATAGAATAAAAATCAGTACATTTTAGGCAGCAAATAGGTATAAAAGACTAGGCATTAAGGGGGGTAAATATGACATTTTGCATTCTCATCAAATTCCCCCACACTTAGCTTTTGCACGTCCTCGGGCAAACTAATTCAAACAAACACTACACTCCAGTCAAATCCAGAACACCATCATCTCAAGTCATATCCAGAACATTAACATGATGCATAAGAAACAGTATTTAATCCATGCATATTCATACCTAACTTAGGAAGCAGCAAAATAAAATAAAGTAGAGTTAATGACATTCATCTCTCTTCATCATTTTCCACAATTACTCTCAATTAGTCAATGCAAACAAGGAAACTAATCACAACCAATTCGTGTACAACTCACCTCTCAATTTTTCTTTTACTGTTTCTCTTTACTACTACAAACTGGGTAGCAAACTAAGGATACAATTCTTTTTCTCTTTTTTTTTTTTTTTTGTTTTGAAAAAGAATGAGTGCATTTTATGCTCCATCTCATTTCATGGTTGTGTTTATGAGTGAGTGCGTTTTACGCTCCATCTCGACTCACCACATACCTTTCTTTTCTTTTTTCCTATTTGCTTAAACCCAAATTTAGGACTAGCTTAAGAGAAACAATTTTTTTTTTTTAAGGGTTATTACACACTCCTCAATCTTGCTTCGTCACCAAGTTCACATAACTTATCAAGACATATTGTTTCAAACTACAAAGATTCAAATCTGATTAACTCTATTTTATGAAATATTGCTAACCTCCTAAGTCAAGGAATATGCTCAATAAAAGTCAGGTTACTATTTCATGCATCACTAGACGTTCAAAGACATGACTTAAAGCATAAACCTTCTTAAAAACAAAAAACTATTTGTTTTTTTTTTTTAAACAAATTAAAACACAACCTAAATCCCCTCCCCCACACTTAAAACTGACATTGTCCCTAACGTAAGATCAAATGCAAAGAAAAGGCAAAAATAACCAAAATTTAAAATGCGAGAATAAGAAAACAAACGCCCCTCGGGTTGCCTCCCAACCAGCGCCTTTGTTTATTGTCGTTGGCTCGACTCAAGGCTTTTCTTCTTACGATGCACTAAGTTTACTTGAGATGATCACCGGTAACATTCCTCCATCTCCAAGGAACATGTACTTGAGGTAACTAGGGAAAGGCTTCAAATCTGGAATGGGGGCCTACAAAATAGAAGGTAAAGGCCTCTCGTTAGAAATTGGTAATGTAATATAAGGAACGTTACCTGACTGCTGCTGTAACTTTGGAGAATCATTTAATGCTGTAACAGTTTCCTACAAATCAGTACTTAAGGCAAACTCCTCATTCTCTTTCTCAAGATGCTTACCAATGGAAACTTCCAATCCATCTTTTCCATCAAGTTCAAAAACTTCCTGTGCTAAAGAATCAATCACATCAATAGAATAAACATGATCATGATCATGATCATCATCATCATCAGGATATTTCATGGCATCATAAATATTAAACTTAACTATTTGACCATCAAATTCCATGGTAAGTATGCCATTATGAACATCTATCTTAGTCTTGGATTGTAATATCCCACTTGAGGTACGTATTTAAGATTTGTCGTATTAGTTAAAAGTTTATTGTTTTAACTTAAATTGAGTTTGTATGTGGAGTTGGTTGAATTGTTGCCTTGAAATGGGTTGAGTTTTGGTGAAGTTGAAAATTCAAACTTCGCCGGGGCGAAGAAGAAACTTCACCGCGGCAAGGAGGAGAAGTGGCATTTGGATAGGTTCTGCCCAATTTCGCCGAGGCGACGAAAAATTCTTCGCCGCGGCAAAGAGCCTAAAACAAAGATTCTTGAGTTTTCTAGAGAATTCTTCTTTTGGGACACAATGACCATTCTACCCCTAATTAGTAGGAAAAGTGGGGAGTGAAATGAAAGGAAATTTAGTAGAGATTGTGTTTGTATGGGGGTGTAGTTGTAAAGAATCAAAGGATATAGATGGAATTTCCAAGAAAGTGCAAGGGCAAAATGGGAAATGAAGCTTTTAATATGAACTAAAAAGAGTAAAGTGTAGAGAAAGCCCTTATTCATCTTCATTCCACCGCCTCTTCCATTGCCCATATTCTCTCAATTTCTCCACCCAATTTTCCAAGAGTTCTAAGGGATTTAAGAGGGGTTTTGAGTAGAGATTTCATCTAAAGCTTCCTAAGGTAAGAATTCATGCTTTAGATGTGAGTTTTCTTGTATTTATAGTGAGGTCTTATTGTGTTGTTGCTGCCCTTGTGGTTGTTTTGAGTTGTAGAGAAGAGACAAGCCAACAAAGGGAAGGAAAAGTGCTAAGGAACCCATCTTTGCACAAGGTAAGTAAATCCAACCAAGTTGAGTTATGACTAAGCTTTGAGTAGAGACTTATTTTAATTATGTATGTACATGGTATACCTACTGAAAATTGAGATGAGATGTGTGCTTAGTCTTAGTAGTTGGGATTGATTAAATATGAGAAGTGTTGTTGATATGTGTATTGAGAATGGAGTTTGAGATGAAGTTTGAGAGATGTTGTGTAATCCTTTTTGGGAGTGCTTTTCTTGACAGGGATTATGAGTAATTGAGGGAGTTTTTCCCCAATTTGGATGGCTAGAAAAATGAAGTTTAGTAGTAATTTTCGTAGGGTGTTTATATGCACATGAGATGTTTGAGGAAATGCCTAAGTGAAATCTGCCCTGTCACTGCCGTAACTTTCTGAGTAATTTTTGAGTATCTTACGGTTCGAACTGGGCTGAGACCAAAACAGAGAAGTTGTAGCCCTGTTTCTAAGCTTTGAAACGAGACCAGAACCGTAGTAATCCGAGGTGTATAGCATAAGTTATGGCCGTTTTAGTGTGACTGGTGCAGAATGACTGTTTTGAGGAAATCTTGTAGTTGGCATTTCATTAGTGCATTAGGGAGCATGAGATAGCTCTACACCTTTGTTTATACACTTGAGAAGTAGCTTGAGATTTAGTATAGAATGTGAGTATAAGTTCTTTAAGAGTTAAGAGTAAGAGAATAGAGTAGGTTGTGCGATGGGGAACCCGTGAGTAATGGGTAGAGTATTCCCGCATGTACGCCGCATTGAGAGAGCGGCATGAGTATCAGATAGAGAAGTGGTGTAGCCCGTGAGAGTGCATGCGGATGAGGGCTATACCCGAGTACCCGAGAGAGAGAGATTATATACTCACATGGCCAAGGGTTCCGAATCCATGCATAACCGAGTCCGATCGGCTAGAGTGAATAGAGGTCACGTAGAGTGGGAGTGAGTCCCGGCCGTGCCCCCGGTAAGATGGGGTCGTGATTCATGAAAGAGTTATGAGAAAAGAGGAAAAAGAGAGAAGTGCCCAAAGAGAAATTGAATGAGGAGTTGTAAGGAAAGAATTAGAGAAAGAGAGTTACGGGGCTAGTATGAGTAGAGGATTTACTTACTGAGCATTATTTTAGTGCTCACCCCGTTGTTTTCCCATGTTTTGCAGGACCTAGGTGAGGACACTGTCGGATGGATGTCGGCGTGCGAGGAGGAGTGGTTACACTGTCCCTGATGTTTTTGATGACTTTTGTTTATGTTATACATTTTGTGTAAAAATGTATATGTTTGTAAAGAGTATGTATATATGTTTAATAAAAGAAAAATTTGGGCCCAATTTCTTTATGTTATTTTATATGTATTTCATTATAATCTTTTGAGTAGTAGTGGCTATTACATTTTTGGTATCAGAGCCGAGATTTTGGGATTTGACAGTGTGCCATTCTTCTCGCTACGACGTCCGATAGCCGACTGTGTGAGTTAATTCTTTCCTTACTTTAAGTGTTCTTTTGAATTGATCAAGTATGGTTGTTTTGTAGATGAGGCGTAGTAACAGGAGGAAGGGTAAGAGTGTGATGCATGAGGGAGAATCCTCCAACCCACCAGAATTGACTCCCCCTACCCTTGATGAGATGAGGATTCGAGCTATTGTACAACAGGTTTTAGCGGAGAGTCAAGGGAGAGTAGTTCAGGAGAGAACCGAGACTCCCAATAGAGTACCGCCTCCAAGACAAGAGCGAGAAGGGCCGGTACCTCAGCTAGTACAGACTCGGGGTGATCCGATTCAGGGGCTTGTAAATCAGCACCAGCCGCCAGCATTTAAGGGTACAAGGGACCCGCTAGAGGCAGAGGAGTGGTTTAAATCCGTAGAGCGGATGGCGGCATTGTTTCCCCTGAATGATAGAGAGAGGATCAGATATGCTAGTTTCTTGTTTAAGGGAGATGCCCGGATATGGTGGGAATTAATGGAGGAGACCCATGACATAGCCTCGATGACTTGGGAGGAATTCAGAAGGTTGTTTGAGGCTGAGTACCGAACAGAAGATCGAGTACATGAGAAAGTCCAAGAGTTTATTCACTTGAAGCAGGGGACTAGTACGGTGAAGGAATATTCCGTAAGATTCAACTCCCTTGCTCGTTTTGCACCCGGAATAGTGTCTACACCGGAGTTAAGGAGAGACAAGTTTGTGCAAGGGTTGAGATCAGATATTGCTCGAGATGTAATGACAGGAGTCGAGCCCCCTCATACCTACAGTGAAGCTTTAGCACGGGCTTTGAGGGCAGAGATCTATGTGAACAAGTATATTGCAGAAGGGTTGGCTTTGACAGTACCTAGTGAGCCATCCACCATATTACAGAGAGAGAGGGTAGATGTCACAAAGAACAGAGAAGTACGGGCCAAGAAGAAGTTTCAACCGAGGAAGAATAGGAGAGATCGGCAGTACAAGCGGCCTAGGACAAAAGGGTTTCCCCCTTGTGCTAAGTGTGGGAGGAACCATCCTGGGGAGTGTTTGAGGGATCAGAATGTGTGTTACAAGTGCCGACAGCCAGGGCATATGTGGAGAGATACGGGGCTAGCATGAGTAGAGGATTTACTTACTGAGCATTATTTTAGTGCTCACCTCGTTGTTTTCCTTTGTTTTGCAGGACCTAGGTGAGGACACTGTCGGATGGATATCGGCGTTCGAGAAGGAGCGGTTACACTGTCCCTTATGTTTTTGATGACTTTTGTATATGTTATACATTTTATGTAAAAAATGTATATGTTTGTAGAATATATACATATATTTAATAAAAGAAAATTTTGGGCCCAATTTCTCTATGTTATTTTATATGTATTTCATTATAAGCTTTTGAGTAGTAGTGACTATTACAGAAAGAGTCTTGTGAATAGAACTCTTGTGAATAGGAAAGATCCTGATTCACTTGACTTAATAGTAACAAGAGTCCTAATTTGCCTACGATACGGAATCTTGGTTGAATTAGAATAAATTGAAACAGGAAAAGTGTTACTTACCTTGGTGTAGAAGGCCTGGCCTTAGGTGGGCCGTGGAGTCTCCCATTCTAGAAAAAGGCTCAGCCCAAGTCATGAACTATGATGCTGACCCAACGGAAATTGGATCATAAGCTTGGGCCGCCGTAATGGAACAAATCTGTCTAGGCCTGATAAGGCTCCAGGTGATTTTGACCCCTATAGTTAGCCCCTTACTCTCTAAGCTAAAGGGTATTTAGCTTGGAGAGTAGCTGGACTAATGAGAGACTAACCTACCTAAGAGGCGGTTTGTCGGGATGGTCGAATATTCTCTTCAACTGAACAAGGACGTCTCGTCTTGGTAGAAGCTGCGAGGAGGCTGTTGGTTATACTTTCATAGCTTTGTGCAGTTGAGTTCGTTCATCTGGTCAAGCCGAGTGTTAGGATGCGAGGGGCAATCCTTGAAGTTGCGTCCACTCGGTTGACTAAGCTAAGCGATTGGGGGTAAAGAGCGACCCTTGAAGCTGAGTTTGCTCAGTCGGCTGAATCGAATGATAGGGTATGCGACGCTACCCTTTATAGAGTTCAATCGGCCAGTCGACCAAGCATCTACATTTTGTACTCTGAAAAGTCTTATATGTTTCTCGAATTAGGAGTCGATTCGGTTTACTCGGGCGAGTCAAGCTTTGTCCAGGTGCAATGGAGTGGCGTCAGGAGAACGGGACGTGTGTATAGTAGGGTTCGTGTGTTTTGAGCGGGAGACAAGAAATTGGGGTTACCGAGGCGGTCCTATCGTATAACACGTGTATGATTAGGATTTCCTCTTTTTTTTTTAAGTGGGAAATTGAAGAGTCGCAGCCAATTGGCTGTTGCTGCGTGTTGCCCTGGCAAGTTGGGTGATTAAAAGGAGAAGAAACCCATTGGCGATTGTTCATCTTCATCTTCACTTCGTTCCCTATTTCTTTCAAAGATTTTCTTAGGTCGCCGTCGAAGCTTTTTCAAGAGTTTTCTGTGTTTTGGTCACAATAAATCTCTTTTCCTTCACATAAATCGATTTCTTTTCATTGCTTCTACTTTCCTTTAGTTTTCTAAGCAATTTAAACACGTTTTATGATCGTTTTTCTTTGGGCGGTTTGAAGTATTGATTTTTCCTTTTTGGTTTCTTTGGAATTTTGTGGAATTCCCAGAGGTTTGAGGTGATATCTTTAGATCTAGCTAAATTATGAGGATAGGCTCAATTTTTTGGGATGATTTTGGTAAGTTTTTTGAAATTTTGGGAGAAAAAGCTTTGAAGGATTTGGATTTAGAAGCATAGGCATTACTGGGAAAATTTCTGGAAATTTTGAGTTTGGCTTGTGGGAGAAGGAAGAGTTGATTTATTCACTGTCACCATTCGGCACGCCTGGGGCACTTGTCTGAGTCGAGTGATAACCTTTGAGGTTACTTGTAGATTCATTCAACTATCCAGTCGGTCTGCCAGACCGAGCTGATTGTAGTGTTAGAGAGTTCAACATTTGAACACATAATGTCGAATACCGAGTCGAGTGGGAATAGTCAGGGTGAGATGGAGGGGGGAGGAAAGTATGAGAATGCCCCCACTATGGTGGTGTTGTCGGAGGAAGGTAACGAGCCCATGGGAATCCCTAAAGGGTTAAGTGTAGCCAGGACCGATCTGACTACTGTTGAGTCGAGTGGCAAAGACTCGACGAGCAAGGGGAGAATGGGGAAGATAGCGATGAAAAGCCAGACAGTGGTCTCAAGGGCGAGCCTTCTACAAGTGGGACTACGAGGGATAGATCCAACCAACCGAGTGAAGGGATCTTGCCATTGGACTATACCCTAGAGCTCACTCTGGATGAAAAATGAAGGATAAGGACAATGTACCATATCCCTAACTCGGTCAAGATATGTCTACCGAGAGATCATGAGCAGGTTGATTGGGAGGTACCAAGATGGATCGCTATGCATGATATCTACTTTTATGATGAGCTTAGGTTGCTAATTCCTCACTTGGTTTGGGAAGTATTGAACCACTTCATGATAACCCCGACTCAGATCATGCCAAATGGTTGGAGGCTACTGATAGCATTGAAGCTTCTCTACACTATACACCAAGTGGGGTTCGACCTGCATGAGTTCCTCTATTCTTACTATTTGAAGGAGCATGACACCGATAAGGGTAGATACTCAGTCACCCTAAGGCATGATCGAATCCACCTAGTGACGTTCCTGCGATTAAGTGATAAGAACTGGAATGGGAAGTTCTTTTTCGTGAAGAGTGATGCAGTCTTTGGAGAGAGATGGCAGGGCAACATACCCTTTACATAGAGGGCGACTAGTTAGTAACTTTTACTTGTCTGTTTTTTTTTTAGCACTGAGCCTAATCTTTCATTATTCTACAGATCCGAGGTTCAACAAGGCTAGGCAGAATGGTGACGATTTATACATGCCCACCCGAGAATTGCTTGCTATACCATTAAAACTGAGAGATTGGAGAGTGCTCTTGCAAGAGGCGAACCTTAGGGTGAGTCATCTTTGGAGCGAGGTTGCTACAATACAAAGAGGTACACCTTTCCCTTTGCTGAAGCAGACATGGAACATTTTGTTGATGTGCTACTACAATCACATCTGCTTCGGACATTCATTTCTTCATCCTTTAACTCTTGGAGAGTTTGCCTTTGTAGAGAGACTGATGAAGAATATTAACGTTGACATCCCAAATGCGAGCGAGGCGATCACCTAACACCGAGCTAAGAGAAAGAGAAAGTTGGCGGCTAGGCCGAGTGAAAATGTCCAAATGGAACGAACCAAGTCAAGCCCTCATACTGCGCCACCTAAGACTGGAGCTAAGTCATCGTGGAGTGTCTAAATCGATGAGGATGCTGAGAAGATGACTGTCACGTTTCTGATGACTGCTTCTATCTACTCTGATATAGCCGTGATAGGAAGCTAGCTGACTCTTTCATGTTACCCATGGATAAGAGCCTGTTGGATCAAATGGGAATGAGTGTAGTTGCTGAATGGGATGTGGCTCGGCAGTTTCAGGTAATTTTTATCTTCAAACGCTTTGTTCCATAAGGAACTACTTCTAACTGTTCTGTTTTTGTAGGCTCTGACGGGGAGTCTATATCTGAAGAAGGTCGTGGTTGTCTAGGATGCAAAGATCCAAGACTTGACCAAGTTTAACATGGGCCTTCGCACTTGGGAGGCTTCGGCCTTGAAATTATCGAAGGAAAGTGTTGCCAAGCTACGACAAGCTAAACCAGAGTTGGCAGAGTTGAACAAAACGTTGGTGGAGAAGGAAAAGGCACTGGCCAAGAGGGATGAGGCGCTTGCTAAAAAGGAGGAGGAGTTGGTTGCCTTTAGAGAGCGATGCCAATCAATTGCCACCGACGCCATGATCAAGGCTTACGCTAAACTAATGAAAAAGTACAAAGCGAGAAACACTTCCCACTGAAATCCCAACGAGGATATTGAATTGTGGGAAAAGATTAAAGTAGAGTCGGCTAATAAGGGCAGTGGAACGGAGAAAGGTTAAGTTGAGACCAAGCGCAAGGATGTGATGGACAACTTTGCTGGAGACTTGGAAGGGTTGCTTACTGAGTCAATTGAGTCACTTCCTCAGGATGACTCAGCGATGAAGGCTTCGACGAGCAAAGGAAATGAGGTCGAGCCGACTGTAGGGCATTCAACTCAAGAAGATAACCCGGAGCATGCTGCTCCCTGAATGTAGTTTTTTCTAAGTTTGTACTTTGGGTGTTGAACACCCATGACTATGTATTCGGATCAGCCCCCCTGGGGACTTTAATAAAATTTGATATTTTGCTGATTGTTGTAGTCTTGTTGAGCTTCTGAGTTCTTGTTTACTGCCACCTGGGTGCCGTCGACGCGACCGACCGACTGTGTATTGATTTAGTTAATGCTTGGTTGAAGTAGTAACTAGTTGATTTAGTTGCTCTAGCTGAATGATTTTGTGTTGTCCAATTGAAAAAATTTCTAAGTGTTGGGGTAGATTTCGAGCAGGTAGAACCTCTATCACACGTGAACCAAGTCAGCATGACCGACTTTGTGTTGAAACATTCAAGGGCTATGTGTCCCAGTTGGCATGGCCAACTTTGTAGTTGAAAACATTTGAGGCCTATATGGCCCAGTCAACATGACTGGATCGATTTTGTAGTTGAAAACATTCAAGGGCTATGTGACCTAGTCGGCGTGACCGACTTCGTTATTGAAACTTTGTAGCAGAATAGTTGAACATAATTTTCTCTGAATAGTTCTTTTTATTGATTCAAGGCTTTGAAGCTGACTGTCGTTTAAGGAGTTGAACATGCCTACTCATCCCTTTGAAAAAACAAAAAACAAAAAGGAGCTACAGAAACGAAGCTAAGTTGTGGTTTGTCACAAGTGATATCGTTTGAGTGAATGTCGTTCCAACTGTGGATGATATCCTTGCCCTCTATTGATTGAAGCTTGTAGGCATCCCTGCCGACTAACTAGGTGATCTTGTACAGACCTTCCCAAGTGGGACTGAGTTTGCTAACGTTTATCTCCTTTGTGTTCTGACAGACTTTTCGGAGGACCCAGTCGCCTTCTTTGAATGACCTGATCACT